TTGACATTTTGCTGTTTTCTAAGTGAAATCAACATCCTTGCCGTCATGCGTTAACGTGAAATCAACCTTTTAACTGTTTTTGACCAGAAATTTATATTTTTTTACGGTTACATGTTGCGAGAAAAATCAACATTTTGCTGTATTTTAAGTGAAATGAACATCTTTGCGGTCCCATGCTGACATGACAACAAATTTAAGTTTTTGCTGATCCTTTGTTATGAATCCTTTGTTATAATGAACCGAGGTGAGACTTTGACCTAGAACAAAGGCTCGCTTCGGTTTATTAAAACAAAGGATCGGCTCAGTTTATCATAACAAAGGCCCTGGCTTCGTTTATCTGCAGGGCTCGGCTGAAAAAGGGCGTTAGGTATTTTTCTCAAAAGTGAACTTTGTCAAAAACACTCCAAATTTCGCATGCAGTTTTGTTTAGGTATGTTTAGCAATGTCCAGTAGTTTGTCCGCTAAACTTTGCTTCGTTTTCGAGATATTGCGTATGCAAAAAACCACTCGGTTTTCCTAGCGGCATCTTTACAAAAAGAGGCAAAAATACAGGACCACGTTTTTCTATTACATTGAAGACCACAAGCAAAAATTCAAACCCTTTTGCAAAAATTTTTTTTTCACCGAAATCGTCACTTAGCATGGTTTTGCACTCACCCCTTCAATTATGATCATAGACTTCTACCAAATGAAGGTGTGATCACAGACTGAAGTAATTAACATAACCTGCAGATAAATATAGTCATTTGTCAGTGGTGAGCAGATCCATCATTTGCCGAAGTCGAAGGTCGACAGAGGCAAATAACAGATCTTCAAGACCCACTATCAAATCACGATATTTCGTGATAATCGAGTTCAATAATTGTTTAATTATTTAATCGTCAAGTTTGTTTTCATATCTGAAATCACTCTCTGAAAGCTCACGGAAACGATCTGCCATTTTTTACACAAGTGTGTGATTACAAATATTATACATGAGCAGACCATTATTCGTAGGCAGTTATTTCAGGGATCCATATTCGCAGTCGTCCAGTTGTCCATGACCACTAAAATATCGTAGGGATGACCAAATCAAGACAAAAACTCATCCACTGGACGAGTTTAGTTTGACTCTACCAGAAAAAAAAAAACACTTCTTAAATTTTCTTATGAGTTCCCTGTATTCTGACCACTTGTCATCTATTTGGAACTTTTAGAAAACAGAGAAAGACTTACAGCTTTCTTTTGTGGTAAAATCATCATTTTGGTCTGCCATCATGGATGATTTGGTATTTTCCTTGAATGAAATTATTGCAGGCTCAATTTTCAATTTGTCAACCGCTGATGCCCTGTACTGCATCTGCATCCACAAAAACACGTGGTGCGATTGCATCAGCTGTTTTGATCAGGATGTGTTGTTTAGTAATGTTGACACTTCAGAAAAACAAGCCAAATACAAACAGGAAGAGTGAAAGTGTTCCTTTCTGCCTTCATGGCAGTCAAAGAGGCCTTGGCTGTCATTTGTACCTGGATTTTCTGTGCCCACTCACAGCCAAAACTACGGGCCTGACATATTGGGAGACTGATAATAAAAAAGTAACCTTCCATTTACATGCTGTTTTGTTGCCAGTCTTCCCTGTTGAACAGGCAAGTAAAATTTTGCCACAGCAAGTATGTCATCTGGCATACTTGCCCAGCTGATGACTTGACGAAAAAATCAATTACAGATCCCTGTTATTTGCAGGTCACATGGTGGACTATTGGCCAGTGAAAAGGAAGGGGGGAAAGCACCGACTGATAAAGACTAAAATTTATGATTGTCCTGCTTTATAGTCAAAACCTTGATAAACAGGTACATCATACCATTAGCATCAGACTGTTATGC